GTCAGCTTTCCTGCTATTCTGATGCTACCTGGCCTGCTGTGTTCATCCAGCTCCACACCTTGTTATCTGTAGAATAAGTGACCTCTCTTTTAAGACCAAGACAACAAGAATTTTTTTTTCTCTCTCTGAGTCATTGGCGGGGTGGAGTTCTCTACACCAAAAGGTAGTGGACGTTGTATAGGTCTTCCCATTTAGTCAAGTCTGCGTTAGATTGGCAAAAGTCAACAGAATCGAGGGTTATGGCGTGCAGACAGCAAAGTGGAGCTGAGACCACAAATAGATCAACCATGATCTTACTGAATGGTGGACCAGTCTCAAAGGGCCAAATGGCCTACTGTTGCTCCTCAGTCCTATATTCCTATGTTAAGTCTCAAGCTGAAGGTTGAGATTGATTGCAGTCAAACGATTGCAGAGTTCTGAACCCCTAACGTAACCGATAATAAATATTTCAACTCTTTGTAATCTGCTTGGGATATTTTGTGGATGTCTCTTTGGGACTAGGTTAAGTTTTCATAGTCCTGGCTATGTTTTTTTAAAAAAAGCATGAATTTGTAAATGGGTCAAATGTTCCTTGCGTGTACTGCTTTTGGTATCCTGCTATAACTTTCCTGTTTTTGTTACAGTAACGGTCAGCATCTGTCAGCGAAACCATTGCTACAAAAGAAAATTTGATTGGATAGGAGAGGATGGACAGGCATCCTTAAATTGATTAAAGACAGCAACTTGCACGATACAGTTCCTGTAATGTAGAAAAGTGCTGCACAGCACATCACAGAAACAAAGAAAACACTGCAAAAAGTCACAAAAATCTGCTATGTTAGGATAATGTATCCTGTCAGGCGAACACTAAATGCCTGTTGTCTCTGACTGGAAATTCCTGTCAAACTTTAGTTCCAACTAGAAATTGAGTCTCAAGTAGTTTTAAGTCTTCCATTTAGACGAGGAGCAGAGTTAATAAGAATGCTGATTCCTAATTCACATCTGGATAGTGTTAAATAAATTTTTAAAGACAAATTAAAATAACTGAGCAGATTCCAGTTTATTTTCTGTATAATTTTAATAATTAAAATAAAACCCAACTGAACTGTATAATTCACATCACCAGAAGAATAATATCCTTTACAACATATTGTCAATTTCTCTCTTCACAGGTTTCTTGTTTTGCATTGTCATTGAACTTTGGTTGATGAAATATGCATATTCCAATCCTGTACAAGTTTCCTTCCAATGTTCAGTTAGACACCTCCTTCTCTTGACTAAAAATGCTTTAAAATCTCCTAGTATTAATCCCAGGAGCTTTCACATTTTCAAACAATGTCACCACAGGGAATCACAGTAAAGCAAAAATTCCTTCAGAATAATTTGGTGTAATAGATCGTTTAACTATGTTTTTGTGCATCATATTTATACCCTTTTACTTTTGCACATGTAAAGAGTAAATTTGTTAATTGAAAACTGGGAGAAATAATTGTGCGAGTTTGTCCTGGAGAGAAATGAGCATCCTTTGCTTCATCTCTGCAATTAACTGTTGGATGAGAAGCCCCATGTGCAATTTTTTTGTTTCTTCAGCAATTAAGACCCTTAAATAGTTTATCATTGGTCACTTAAGGGTCTCAACTCACCACCCCGCTGTTTACCTGCTGCCTTCTTAGTGAGAAAGATGGCTAGTTTCCTGTCTGTGAACCAGGGCAACCTGCATGGTGAGTTTAGAGAGACAGCATCTCCAATTGCCCCAATCTTGGAGCAGTCAGAGATATGGAGCAAGTGGTGTCCTTGTCTCCAACCTTCCCAATCTCCCTCTCCCCTGCAACTCCTGAAATGAAGCAAAAAAAAACTTACCTTCTTCCACTCTGGAGTAGGTCTCTATAAGTGGTTCACAGGACTCAATAGCTGCTGGTTCTGATTGGCTGCTAATTTCTGGCAATCTGATACACCAGTGTTGAGGCACCTGATAAGCAAATTTCTTGCCCTTTTGTTGCTACGTAACATACTTGAACCGAGAATAGGATAATCCCAGCACAGTTTCTTAGTAACTATCTCTGCTTTGGGAGCCATTTGATATCGAGCAGAAATAGCATCGAGTAACAAAGGGTGTGTTTCACACTTAGATGTGAACTTTGAAATTATTCTAAAACTCATAATGACTTCAATTAGAGAAACAAAGAAACACTCCAATTGTCCTACTCATCTGATCACTAATTTTCTTTTGGCAACACCAGTTCTCAAAAGCAGTCCATCAGAATGTTAGTCATGAACAATCAGATAACCTACTAATGTAGTGCCAATTGATTAACTGACTAGTGAGAACACAATTCACATGTGAGTAATCAGATATTATCTCTTGGCCGAGTTACTTTCTGTTTTTTGGTAGAACTTTCAAATATTGCCAATAAGTTGTTGGTGCACCTGTGCAAAGAATTTTTTCATTGAACTATAAATAGTTTTAAGCCAATTTTGGGGAAATTTAAGGACAACGTCACAGACCAACTCAAGAAGACTTTTTGATTTAATCTTTTGCATAAATTATGCTAGAAGTTTTGGTTGTAAAATGACAAGAAAATACACACTGGCACAAATGAAACCATTTCTGTGAAAGATTTATCTAGGAAATTTGCCGTGAATATAGACTGTGTGGTTATCTCAGAGTGCCTACAATTTTAACACACTTGTGTGCTGCTGGTGCAAATAGTTGCTTGCCAATCTGGGATCTTGGAGAAAAAATATTTTTAATTCCCATTGCAGCTCAGCCCCTATATTACACAGTTATTTTTGTTGCTTTTGAATTGTTAATGGAAAGAATTAGATGGGTTACAGCTCCCAGACTCTGGGCTTTGCATGTGAAAAATCAAAAGCAAGGTTTGCTGTAGCATCATGAATTATGTATTAAGTTCCAGAAAGTATAGGGAAAAAAATGACAGCTTTCTGGCGATCATATAACTACCCCAGTTACACTTCATTGGATGTCCTGAGGTTGTGTGAATTGCAATATAAGGGTAAATCTTTGAAGTCTTTCTGTGCTTCATGCAACCATAAGCAACAGCTGTAACATGCAGTCTGCCCTTCCTGTACTTCTCTCCCTCTTATTTTGCCATTTAATTTGTTTGAGTTATTGTGTTGTTATTATTGGCTGTATATAGAAAGGGTGATTTATATAAAGAATAATGAATTGTTGGAAGTGATGGATGTTTGGGTATGATTTACAGGCTGAATTCTAGTTGACAGGTTTTTATAGACGTGAAATAAGAATCCCTGAGAGTAAATTACAAACTGGAATCTAATTGGATGGTTTAAATGTTATCCTAAACTCTGAGAATGTGACATTTAAGTTTGTAACTGCTGTTGACACCTTCTTGAGGTCAAGTGAAAGGAATACACAAGAGATGACTTTTAATTTTACTGTGCTCCAGTAAGTGCTGCAAAATGAGGGAGTCAGCAGCTGAACCTTGTGGAAACTAAGGCCCTTTCAATGCAATTTTTGAGTAAGATTGTAAATGGCAGTCAGCATTTCCACCTGAATCAAGTAAAAGTCTTCATTAAGTTTGAATGAAATCCTGTGCAGGCACCACAAACATACAGCTACTGGCTACTCCGTGCCTTTCCAGCCAGTTTGTTTTTCTTTCTTTCTTGTCTGTTCTGGCTCAGCTCTACTTTGGACCTTGCTTTGGGGCTATTCACCAACGCCACCTCCCGCCTCCACCCCCAACTAATCTACATGCCCCCGAGTTACAGGGATGGAATTCCATATAAGTGCATGAATTTCCTTTATACATTGCATTTATCCCATGGGGTAAGTCAGGAGTTCACAGGCTCTTTCAGAGAACAAATGTATGTTATTGAAAACTTTCTAAGAACCATCAATGAGAGGGAGTGAGATTCATGGAAATAACATCCCAGAAGTTTAGGCAACATGCTAAAGGGCAGGCAACTTTGTGTGGAATCTCCTCATCCCTTGAGTGGCATGAGCTATGGCAAGAAATTTGTAAGAATCACATGGAAAGTCGAGTGGGGCCTCTCTCAAGGTCGGGAGCATCAACTCGCATCTTCCAGGCAAGTTCCAGACATCGTGATGAGATTGTCACCAGTGAGCAGCAAGAGGCCTATCAATAGGGATTATTGCTCACTATAACCTTTGTTATTACTTAAATCTCATTAATATGCACACTGTTGTTGTACTGCTGGTTGGTTAGAAAGTAGAAGGTGTCACCACTTGAAGTGGAATCAGACCGGGTATCTGGCAGCTCTGGCTTGCTCCTCTGGATGGCCGTGTCACCAATGTCTTTGGGCACGGTCAATGGGAAGCTCTGCACAGCCACAGACGCTGGCACTGACCACATGCCAGCCTCTCTACACCATCATGGCACCTCGTTGATCCACTTACAGGATGCTTTTACAGTATATTGCTGCATGTTGGAGCACACCGGCAACTATCTTTAGAATGCTGCCACAAAGACAATTCTTGCTCATGCATTGGAGTAGGCTGCATCTGAGGGCTGGCCACTTGCTCTTTTAGTGTTTACTCACTTAGCACCTACTTAGATGCTCACAACATCCTTGCCAGCCATCAACATTCCCTGTAAGCAGCACAGGGTACAGCCACAATGATACTCCAAGCACAGTGTTAGGTGTAAGAACACTGGTTGCAGCATAGATTTCTGGTTCCAGAAGTCACACCTGTGCAAGAATCACAGAGGTCTGCACAGAAGAAGAATATTTAGGCTGTTGCTACTTGCCATTTCTTTCCTTGCCTTCCCATTTAACACTTTGACCCCTCAGCCAGTGCTAACAGTCACAGTTCTTTTGACTTGACTTGACCTTTAGTGCAGACACAAAGCTGGCTGTGGTTGTCGGCACCCATCTTGCTATACAGCCATGTGGTATGTCAATCTCACAGCAGTACCATGTGCCAGCATCATATGTGGCAAACAGACTGCATGTGCTTCAAGCAACTGGCCATGTCTCAGAGTCTAAACGGACTGCCTACAGACAGGAGACCTCAAGACGGTGAGTCAAGGCAGACTCTGCTATGAACCCACATGCTTGGGCACAGTCATTAAGACACTCAGGGTCAAGATCCTCTCCTGGCAAGGGGTGCGGTGCAGAATATCAGATACCCCACCACTATGGACTCTAGGAGAAAAATTTGCTTCAGCTATAAAGGCCACAAAATGACAAATTAGTCACCAAAAAGCAAAAGGTACTGACAATCAATAGCTCACAAATCAAAGTCAGCATCATGCATTTACCACTGTGCTCAAAACCTAACTGCAGTAATAGACAGCTGTTTGTACACAAGTCAAGCTCCTATTACTTTCATTTTGAGTTTCCGAGTCAGAGCAAGGGGTCTGGTATTTGCTTCTTCAGAACTCACTATGCTAATTGGTATCATATTCTATACAGCAGTGTAGTACCATCATGCATTTGAAATGTGTAATTTAATAATGAGAGATTTGTTTAAAGTGCTATAAACTACAAAACTTATTCACTATTCCTTTAGATAGCCTGTATGAGATATTTGATAGAACATTTACCAAAACTTCCAAAAAGATTGTCCTTGAAAAGCAAATGTTAAGTCAAAAACTTTTACAATACCCTGTAGGGGGAGGAAATCTCTTCTGGTTATATCCTAATTACATCATGAAAAATTATAGTATTGAAATTAGACTGAACATTAATATGCTATAAAATAAATTTACCTGTTATTGCAATAATGGCTAACCATTTACTTCAACTAATCAAGTTTAAATGTAATGACCCTCTGTTATACGAAGTGGTTAGAGGAATTTCCTGTGAACACAACTGTGCCGTTCCATCTCATGATAGGTCACTAGTTAGATGCAGAGATCATTTTAGCTTTCATCAAAAGATTAGACGCATCTTTAAAACACAGAAAGATAAATGATCATGGGAAGAGAATGGAACAGTGGCATTAATTTTAGATAGCTCCAGTAAGGACCTAATGCAATGGGTCAAGTGATCTGCTTCAGTGCTACAAACAGCTTTGTTTCTATTTGATGAGTTACCAGTCTCGGTTACACCATGCTGAGGAAGCAAGGCTGTCATTTCACACACTCTGGTGAAAGGTTATGGCGCAGTGTTGGTAAATGTAGGGCAATGTCAGGATGGGAGTGGGTTGTGTTTTCATGATATACTTATCTAAAAAGTACATGGTTACTGTTTGACACTTGATGGCTTGAAGACCATTGGTCTTCTGTTGCTACAAATATTTCCAATCTATATTATTACTCATTGCCTTCCATGAATATGTATAACCTTATAGAAAGATATCCATCAGCTGGAAAGATGGCATCAGCAGTGTTCCTCTAAAATGAAATCATGACCATTCTTGATATGAATTGACAGCCCAGTAAGTGGAAAAGTAAGCCAATACAGCAAGTCAATAAAAGTTTTGTGTGATTAAAATGTAAACACTCATGAAATTTTGAAAAGAATGCTGGTTGTTACTTATGACCTATAATAACCATCTGACAGTACTTGACACCAGGTTTTGTTCCGTTATTAATAACTAAATGCTGTAAGTTGGGCTATGTTTCTTATTGAAGAATTTTTTTTTCTATTTGTAATGCTAGGTAAAAAAGAAAGAAACAAGATAAACAAGTAATAGGAATTACCTCCTATTCAAAAGCACCAATTGTAGGACAGAAATATTAATAAATTTCAATGTTATGTCCATACAAAAAAATAAGTTTGCATTGCAGAGACTTGGACCAAGGCAAGTGGAAGTAAAATTCAATGTTTACCATGTGATACCAAGCTATACACAGCCATTATTTTGTGAGGTCTGTAAGCTCTACCTCAGCACTCATTAAAAAAGTACAGAGGAAGCAAAGATTTGATGTTGAAATTTATGAAAAAAGGGAATTAGAAAAATGTGCAGCTATCAGTCAAGTTAATGGGACCATTTATTCCATTGCAAATCTAACCGAAAAAATAATTTAAAAAAAGAACAAAAAGGCTTGCATGTTATAGCTGGTTATCCACGGACTTCCTTTGGTGTTTAAGAAAATTTTTTTTTCTTGGATAATTTTGCTGGTCACACAGTTTTCATTGAAGGAATCTAGGATCCCATAACATGCTTTCTCTAATTTTCCATCAATAATTAGCAGAGATGTTGTCAACTTAGGCTGGCCAGTGTTTCATTCTTTAACAATACACTCATTGGAGTGGCCTGGTCAAGCAATCACTGTAAATGTTTTCAGTTGTGTCTCTCACCACTGTTTGAACAAAAGCAAATATTGAGGCCAAAAGACTCTGCGAAGGGAAAGAGGAAAGGAACTAGGTAGACAGAGATGATATGCAAAAAAAAGTATTATTTGAGAGACCCTTTCCTTTCCTCAAAATAAGCCCAAGCATTAACCAGTTTAGATTTTGTCGCAAGAGCGTCCACAGTATCAATAAATTTGTGGCAGTATCACTACTCATTAAACTACACTGTATTAAGAATTTATTCGCATGCTGACTGCCAGGTTATTATAAATGAATTTGTGAAATATCTCTTTTTGTTTAGAAAAGCTGAGCAAACATGCTGTGGGTTTTGTCAGAAACAACAAAAAATAAAACTCTTCACAAAGAAAGTTTTGACGTTATTATGCACAATGACTAAAGTCATCATTACCTAGTGTTAGTTGTCATTCCACTAAAAGAAAAAATACAGACTGCTTCCATTTGCTTCCATCCGTCACTCACTTATCAATCGATGTGATAGGCTTCACATTGAGGATGAAAGGAAAAACCAAATGCTGGGAATCTGAGCAAAAAAATGTTCCAATTATGAAAAGATAGCTTAATGTTTTGATTGAAGACCGTTCATCTGCACGAAAAGCTCTTACGTCTGATGGAAATATTCTATCAATATTAATCCACGTTTTCAGTAGCAAAGAGGCTTGTATTATTACACTCATTTCTGGGGTGTCTTCCCTGTACTTCATGTGTAACAGTGTAACATAAACAAAAAATTTTGGTACTTATCAAAAGTTTAGACACTGGTGTTAATTTTAACTTTCTGGAGGAAATGTAAAATGGACAATATCAGATTCACAATGGGGTAGCATATCCAGTCTTCCCTCAGGTAGCATCCTTGTTAATCACCGCATTGATGCCTTGATTTTCTTGCCTATTAAGGTCCACACTATTGAAAATCAGGACGAGCCTATAATGGAATGGCCAATCAAATATCGTATACCTCACTGCTGGCAAACACTGCAAGTTACATTGTACACAGTTCTAGTCATTACACTACAGGAATGGTGCACTTGCACTAAAGAAGGTATGGAGGTGATTTACATGGATATTAGCAGGACTGGAGAATTTTAGTTATGTGGAAAAATTGCACTGTAGAAGCAGTTTGTTTAAAAGGAATGAGGCCATAGACGTTTCATGAGCTGAGAATGTAAACACAATCAGAATTATGAAAGGAATGTTTGCTGTTACGTCTCACCTGACAGTGCTTGAATTGCAAGTCAGGAAACCTGTAACTTCCAAATTGTCTCATCTCTTTCTTTCTGGATAAATTTTAAGACTACCTTAAATCTATTTATGTTTGATACTCATGGATGCAAGGTCATCTATTATTGATGGCTTCATACCATGTATAAGGGCCCCCAGAATAATTTTTGAGCAGCCTTTAAGAGAGTGGCTTCATATCATTAATACCCAACAGAACTTCAGAAAAATGTCAATCTATTCACTCACAGAACCATTAGTGATTTACGGCACAAAACAAGGCCATACAGCCCATCATGTGTGTGCCAGCTAAACTGTGCTACTTCCACTATAAAATTCTCCACCTCTCTACGTCTTTCAGTCTGCCAGACATTCCTTTAAAATTGCCTTTTGACCAAGCTTATTTGCCCTAATGACCCCTGATGTAAATTTTTATCAAATTTTGTTTGCCAACACCCATTTGAAGTGCCTTGGGACATTATTTACTATATTACACATGGTGTACAAATGTAAATTGGAATTAATGTTCATAGAAACCATAGACACTGTTGGTGTCAGTCAAAAAAGAGCTATCTGTCCTGATTCTTCTTTCCAGTTCTTGATCCATAATCTTGTAGGTTGCAGTGAGTATTGAAATCCACCTTTTATGCAATTAAAGTTCCTGCTTTTATAATCCTTTTAGGAAGTGGGTTCCAGACCTGTGCCACCCCCAACTTTCTCTGACAATTCTTCAATCCTTCTACGTTCCTGTTTATTGACTTCTCTACTTAGGGAAATAAAGTTTCCCTATTCACTCTACTTAGGCCCACCTGTAATACTATACACCTTGATTAAATCTCCCCTCATCCACCTCTGTCCTAACCTGGCAAATCAC